TAGTGATGCATTTAATCCATTAATTTTTGGAATTGAAAAATTAATTTTTTCATCAGTGTAATTTTTGACAAGCATGAATTGGTTGCTGTCATTTTGTTATGTGTTTTTTCATGGTGTCCCTGTTTTCTTTGTTCCATATTATTTTCTGTGCTGAGCTCATTATGTTTATGAATCGTGTTATCATTTCCTTTGTTGCTATTGTTTTATTATTTGCTGAATATTTGTACTTGTCCTCTTTTTTATTGTTATGTGAAGATTTATCATTTTTCTTTGAGGTTACCCTGTGATTTATAATTTTCTCCTGGAGATTAGCACAGTCCATTGTATCTTTCACCTCTCTTGACTTCCTCACCATTTACAAATTCTGTAACTACACAGTATTTTCCCACTTTTTGGTTTATAGTTGTCCTCATTTGCCAGTTAATGTCTCTGGTTCCCTGTTTATAATCTTGTAGGCTTATTTTACTTTCGTAATGTCCATAGCTGTGGTGTCTGGGTTATATCATCTTGTGCATAATTGATAAGTTGTTATTTGCTGTTTTTCGTTCTCTGTGCAAAGGACTCCCTTTAATGTCTCTTGCAAGGTTGTTCTCGTTTTAACAAATTCCCTTAGTTTCTGCTTATCTGTAAATATCCTAATTTCGCTATCATATTTGAGGGACAGTTTTGCTGTGTATATAATTCTTGGGTTGAAAAATTTTCTCTTTCAAGGTTTTATATATACCATCCTATTGCCCTCTTGCTTTCTGCATGAAATCAGAGCTTATTCTTACTGATTGTCCTTTGTAAGTAACTTTTTGTTTTTCCTGTGCTGCTTTCAGGATTCTTTCTTTGTGTTTGGTTTTGATGAGTTTGATGATGATAGGTCTTGGTAATTTTCTTTTTGGGTCTATGCTGTTTGGGGTTTGTTGGACTTCCTGAATGGATATATTCTCATCTTTCATTCTATCAGGAGAGTTCTCTTCCAACAAATCGTGGACAATTTTCTCAGTGGTTTTTTCTCTTCCTGTTCTGGAATTCCAATGACACATAGGTTATTCCTTTTGATGGTATCCCACATGAACCTTAGGTTTTCTTCCTTTTCTTTTGATCATTTTTCTGATTGATCCCTTTCCAAAGAAGTATTCAAGTATTTGTCTTTAGTCTTATTAATTCTATCTTCTATTGAATCAGTTCTACTACTTTGCCCTTCCAATGTGTTATCTATTTCTGACAATTTAGTATTAATCTTCTGGATTTCTATCTTTAGATTTAGAATTGTTTCTAATTTTTCATTTATTTTATCATCTTGGTCTTGTATTTTCTTCCCAAATTCTTCTAGGGTTTTGTCTTTTTTTCCTGGGTCTCTCTCTCAATTCTTTGAAGATACCTAAATATAATTTTTTTGAATTCCTTATCAGAGAGTTCCAATGCTGCTTTTTCCTCAGGGATATGTTCTGGGTCTGTATCCTGCTCCTTTGTTTCTACCACTTTATCTTGCTTGTTTGCGTGGACTGTGATGGTCTTTTGTCTTTGAGAGATCGTGGCATTATTGTATTTCGATCTTTGTTAACTGTGAAGAGCAGGCAAGGGGAGTCAGGCTCTTCTTGGTGATTGTTTATCGTTGGCCCGTTGGTGGAGAAGGAAGTGGTGGCTCTCACTCAGTAAGTGAAGTTGCAGGAGTTGTAGGTGTAGTTTTGTTGTATGAGGACTGTTGCCATCTCCCATTCAGTTAGCAAAAATAATAGTTGAATAAAAAAATAAAAGCACATGAACAAGACATATACCATATAATCACACAGGAACAGTAATTAAAAAAAGAAAAGCTTGCAATATCTGGGGAGAGGACAATAAGAGAAAAAAGGTAGAGAAGGAGAATAATAAAGAAAAAAATGAGAAAAAATGCAATAAAGAAAACGAGGAACAGGGTTAACCATGAGAAAGAAAAGAAAAAAAAAATTGCAACCAGCAAGAGGGAAAAGAAAAAAAGCTGAAAACTAGAATCTGGGAGGGAGCTCTGGTAGCATAGTGGCTAAAGCACTTGACTGCTAACCAGAAGGCTGGTGGTTCAAACCCACCAGCCACTCCTCGGAAGGAAGGTTGGGCAATCCTACTTCCATAGTGATACTGCCTTGGAAACCCAAGGAGGGGTCACTATGAGTCGGGGCCGACTCGACGGCACATAACAACAACAACAACAACAGAATCTGGGAGGGGAAGAATAAAGAAGAATAGTAAAAAGGGAAAAGTAATAATAATAATAGCATAATAGTAAAAATAGTGGTTTTAAAACAGACAAAAACAAAGAAGCTAAAAAACAGAAAAAAGAGGAAAAAAATTGGGCAGGGCGGGGCAGGGCACCCAGACTCCATCCGAGCACACAGACCGGGATGGAATTCCTGTCAGCCTATAAAGCAGGTGGGAGTGAGGGATGGCTGGACTTCTGTTCACCAAGAGGGTGTGGGGTATAAGAGTAACAAGTGGAATGTTGCACCTTTCCAGTCGTCCGGGTCTGGAATGTCTTTGGGGTTTTCGACAAGTGGAGCCTGTTCTTAAGTCCCTGGAATCTGGGAGAATGCTGTCACTTGAAATATCCAAAATGGTTGAGCCGCTTGTAAATATTCAAAATGGCTGCACCCTCCAGGCGGACAAAAGTCTACAGCTCAGCCCACCTTCCTTTTTGCTGCTTCACCTATTCCTCAGTCACCAGAGAGTTCCTCTGTGCAGTCCCTGGCTAGCAGGGCCGATTTTTAGGTTAATTCTTAGGTCCTACCACCAGTCGGCAATATCCAAACTGTCTGTGCCATCAGAATCGCTGCCAGACTGCAGCTCCTTATGTCTCCTTTTTTGGTGTTTTCATGCAAATTCTTCCGCTAGTTAGAATTTAGTCCACTTCTATATCCGTCCCTTCAAAGCTCAGGGGTCCAGGATTATCTTCTGTATCTGTGTTAATTAGTTCCTCTTTTCTTTGTTGATGAGGTCTGTGTAGTCTTTGTGCCTATTCTGCCATCTTACCTCATAATGCCTTTTTTTTAAAAAGTAGTTCTGATTTGGGTAAAAGTTTACAGAAAATTATACCTTCTTAAGCACTCTCTTCCATTTCTTAGACATGCCATTGAGGTCAACAAGAGGGACTATAGAGCCTGGTATGGACTTGGGCAGACCTATGAAATCCTCAAAATGCCATTTTACTGCCTGTATTATTATAGACGGGCTCATCAACTCCGGTAAGTTTGGCCACTTGGCAGTGTGTTTGGTGTAGGAAAGGCTAATGTGTGTCTGTGTGTGTGTGTGTGTGTGTATTATTTAGTTAGTTAGTTTTCCTCTTTTGATTATTACTGAAGAATCACAGTGAATGTTTTTGACTTTTAGAGACCTCAGAGTTACGTTTTTGGGTCATTTTTGTTTAGGGTATTCAACTAGTATAAATAAAATTGTGAACACACAAAGTAATATGATTATATGAAGCATTGGGTAGCGGTCGGGCTTCCTCAAAGGAGGGGTCTTCAATTATCAATAAAGTCTTGCTTTGGTCATTCTCAGACTACTGTTCTTCTGTTTCAGGCCCAATGACTCTCGTATGTTGGTTGCTTTAGGAGAATGTTATGAGAAACTCAATCAACTAGTGGAAGCCAAAAAGGTACCTGAAATGGGGTCCTTGAGAATTTGCTGTAATTTTTTCTTTGTTGTGACATATCTGCATGAGGAAAGTACGAATATGCATAGGCTGAAAGCAAAACTTGACTGAAATCATTAGTTGGAATGTCATATGTCAATAGTCTTGACTTACCAGCACTAGTAAAATGTGAATAACTGCCTTTATATTTCTGCAAGTCTGGAAGGCTTGCAGGGCCTGAGCCTTTATGTGATGAGTCATGGCACATGGGTCAACGGTCAAAATGACCAGTTTATTTCTTTGACAGTGTTATTGGAGAGCTTATGCCGTGGGAGATGTGGAGAAAATGGCTCTGGTGAAACTGGCAAAGTGAGTGAAAGGAGTCAAACACTATTAATATGTCTATTTGCTTTTCTAGTGTGGTGGGTCCTTGCATGCTCTAGAACCTCCCATTCATCATTCTACATTAGTGTGGGGGGATATAGCAGTGTTTAGGAATATTGATGTTGGAATTTAGTCATCTAGACTAAATTCTCTAAAGAGAATGCTACTTCCCCTTGAGGGGGGGAATTTCTTTCCTTTTAGGCAAGGGATGAAGAATAAATTGAAATTAAAATTTTAAAGTAGAATTTCTATATCTGAGTAGGCCTGGAAAGCTATTTTAAGTACTGATCAGCTAGCTCCTGATAAGGGTTAGGAAAATTAGGAATAATTCAGAAATTGTAGGCAAAGAGTTGTTAAATGCAGTTTTATTAGGAAAAAAACTGAGTTGCTTCATATCTTTTTAATCTCACTCTGAGTGCAAAGATGTATTCTCCAACATAAGTATTTACTAATTCTCCCTCTATCACCAAATCAAAACCAAACCAAACTCACTGCCATCGAGTCAGGTCTGATTCAAAGTGACCCCTCCTTGGGTTTCCGAGGTGGTATCACTATGGAAGTAGATTGCCCAAACTTCATTCCGAGGAGTGGCTGGTGTGTTTGAACCACCAGCCTTGTGGTTAGCAGTCAAATGCCTTAGGCACTACTCCACCAGAGTTTCCTCTACCACCAGTGCAGAGTAATTGTTTTAAGCTTTAATGACTAACCATCACATGTAGGGGACACTATTACTGTTTTGGTTCCCATTTATGTGCCATTTATTTAAAAATTGGTGTTTTCCCTTTTTGATGTTGTATGCTTGTATTTATTTTTTTATTGCTAACTTGTGTTGAGTTGTGATTTGTACTTGAAGATCAATTTTTTTTGTAGGCTTCATGAACAATTGACTGAATCAGAACAAGCTGCCCAGTGTTACATCAAATATATCCAGGATATCTATTCATGTGGGGTATGTGTCTTGAACATGGGAATTGAACTGCTGATCTTATTCTTATCTCCTTAGTCATTTCTGCTTTCCCTGTCTAGGAAATAGTGGAACACTTGGAGGAAAGCACCGCTTTTCGCTATCTGGCCCAGTACTATTTTAAGTGCAAGCTGTGGGATGAAGCTTCAGCTTGTGCCCAAAAATGTTGTGCATTCAATGATGTGAGTATCAGTTCTTTAAAAAAGAGTTTGGATGTTAGGCTAGAAATACAATCTTTATATCTGGGAATGGGAGATAGATGGTAAGTAGAAAGGCTGCCTTGATCTTTGGAACTTTTTTCTTTTTGAGAATAGCTTTGGACATACTTTTAGACACTTGCCTAACTTTGTTTCAGACTCGGGAAGAAGGTAAGGCCTTGCTTCGGCAAATCCTACAACTTCGGAACCAAGGGGAGACTCCGACTACTGAGATGCCTCCTCCCTTTTTCCTCCCGGCTTCACTGTCTGCCAACACCACCCCCACACGCAGAGTTTCTCCACTAAACTTGTCTTCAGTTACACCTTAGTTGGCTACTTGGAAGCCAACACATGTCAGACCCAGATTAAGTCTTGCCTCCATATAAAGAAAGGCCACATCTGTTCTTCAAGGGCTTCAGCTCTTTTGTTTGTATGTATGGAAACACCTCCCTGGGGACTGTTTATACAATCACCTCCAGAGACTGACTGACAGAAAAATTCTGGCAGAAACAGACATTGTCTTTTGCCAGTTAAAAGCACTTGCATATCCATTTTGTTTAGAGTGGCTATAGATACTGGCCTTCTTCCCAGACCCTTTTTTCCTCCTGAAATACATCCCTTTACTGCACTTTAGCATAGGCTGTGTTACAGGAACAGTTTTAATGCTGCTTGGGAGTAGGGAGAATTTCTTTAGAAGAGCAATGCAAGGAAAAAGGTCTGCCACTCTACCCTCTGCTGGCAGAAGGGTCATTGAATACCTCAAGAAAGACTTCAGGGCACTGGATGGACTTGCCCTCATTGGATTTGCTGAGCATGTTTTTTATTCTGATGTCAGAGATTAGGTTTAAATGGTGCAAAGTGATACATTTGTTATTACTCTAGGGAGACATTTTTTCAGAACACAATTTTGATTAGTCTTCTAGAAGCTTTTAAATTAAAAGGAACTAACTGGAGTTGAATTAAAGAAGGGCAGAAAGAATCTCAGAGCATGGAACCGTTGATGGCCCTACTGAGGGCAAAAGATGCCTTCCATAATATTAGCTGTATCCAGAGCAAAGGAAGGAGACAAGTACAGAATATTAATGGACATATGAGAATGATACTTTTGTGACTGCACAGACTGAGAATAAACTCAATTCAAGCTAGTCCGTTTTAATAAACATTTTTGATGTAATTGTGTTTATTTTTCATCTCCAACAGAATTTTTTCTCAGCTTTCATCTTTCTAGATAATCATTCTTGCAGCACTTTTGGGAGACTTTCCTATCTGTACATTTTTGTTTAGTAGGAGGTAATATGCGATGACTATGTATACTGTAATGAACTTATACAGTAGATGATATGGCTCATTCTGAGCTCAGGCTCAGCCTTCCTTTATTCTTGTTCCCAGAACATGTTTGTTACACATTCACCTCCTAATGCTGAACACTTCATTTTATAGTAAGGAAGGTTTACAGTGTCTAATGTCCCTTGAATTCATTCCTTACCAAGCTAGCTGTACACTAGTTTATGGTTTCCACTGCCATTCCTGTCCAAGGGTCTCATGGGCTTGAGTGACATTTCTCAGTCCTTCTGTCCTTATTATAATTTGTTTTAATGATTTTACTAAATTTGGACTTCAAATAAAAAATGTGAATAATGTCTTTATTTATGTTTTTTGTATGCATAGAAACCATAAGTATAAAAACAAACAAACATACCAGGAAGTTACATAGATGATTATATTACAAAACAAGAAATATTACTAGTATCTGAATATTGAAGTCTGGAGAGTTCCAGGTACATGGTAAAGCTTAAGAGACCTATTTATTAAGCTGAGCAGCTACCCATCTTGGGGCAGCTCCTTTCTCCTTCCCCACAGCCTTAGTACTTTTTGCTGAAAGGCCCAGATTTGAGTAAAGGTGAGCGCCGTGAACGCAGAATCCGGGCATAAGGGCTGCAGTCTGTTGAGCTTTGGCAAGTGGGCGTTCGGGGAAGTAAGTTTCGAAGGAATGGTTTCTTCCCTGGAGGCTGCTGGTTTGGTTGCTGGTTTTCCTGGTTGGCACCAAGGCGCTTTTTGGTAGAAGAAGCCTGGCCCTGGAGTTTTAGCACAGTATGATACTGCTCAGCAATGCATGCTGCCTTCTTCCGAAGATCTAGTTTCACAAGCATCATGTTATTCTGCAGTTCAGCCAGGGTCTGGTCCTAAAGATCAATAAAGTGATAGAAAACATATTTCTGTCTAGTGTATTAGAGAAAGAAGAGAGCAGAGTAATACCTGTCATCCACTGCTAATTATCAACAACTATTTCTTCAAGATTTGCTCTTTAAGGTCAGAGCTTATAATTGAATAAAGGTGTTTTTTGTTTTTTTTTTTTTTCTTTTTCTTTCTGACATCCAAACATAAACAGTACTGAATAGAACATTTCTCTGGTGGCATAGTGCCTAAGGCATTTGACTGCTGACCAGAAGGTTGGTGATTCAAACCCACCAGCTACTGCACAGAAGGAAGACTGGGCAATCTGCTTCTATAAACCCAAAGGGGGCCACTATGAGTCAGAATTGACTTGATGGCAGTGAGTTTGGTTTTTGTTGTTTTTTAAGGCAGTATGATGATAAGCTTGAATAAGCTATTGAACCCCTCAGAGCCTCAGTATCTAGATTCAAACTAAGTGCTGTGTTCAATCTAGTTTAAGAATTTATTTTTTTAAAATCTCTGGAATCAGGATGTATCTTAAAATTGATGACAAATGCCATAGCTTAATTGTTAGTGTATTTTTCTTAGGTACATAAAATAATGATTTCTTATAGTCAGTGAAATCTGAGATGAAATACATGTTGTTAAGACAGAGAAAATCACTTAGCGCAGTGCCTGGTACTTACTAAATGGTTAACAAAGGATGCTTATTTTGCAAGGAAAAGAAAATCTCCACACTGTGAGATCAGCCTAAGAAGCTTTACCTTTCTCTTCTGTTCCTTATTCCCCTTCTCACATATGCAGGGGGGTGGATTGGGTAGGGGAAGGAAAGAGGATATAGACAGCCCTAACCTGTTTGATTAAGATGTCATCACAAGTGGTCAAAGCTTGGCGAAGTTTTCCTGCCCCCGTGCTGTGGCAACAGGCTCTTTCTGCTGACTGGAGAGACTCACCAAGTTTCTGTAGTTCTGTCCGCAGCAGCCTTACATTCTAGAGGAGGAGGAGAAAGAATCAGATTGTGGTCGAGATTAAACTGGATAGTGATCTGAAGGAGTTGGGTAGCCATTTGAAGAGAGGTAAATTAGAAAGTTAGCTGACAAAGAAATAGTCCCTCGCCAAGACTGGGGGAAAAAGTCTTGTCCTCATACAAACCAGGGAAATATATATGGGAAATTGATAACATTGGTAGTATCACTGAATTATATATGTAAAAAATGTTGAATTAGCAAATGTTATATTTTTTATAATGATTTTTTAAAAAAAAAAAGGATTGTCAGAGGTAATAGGAATAATGTTTTAAGATTTTTAAAAAAACAAAACAAGTATTGAAAATTGCCCTACATAGTAGTTTTGGTAATACAGAAAGCTAAATTACCTTCTGGCCCTCCTCTAACTTCTTGTCCACGTCAGTGGTGAAGGGCTTGGCTGAGGGTGGCGGTTCTAACATTTTCTGATACTTATGCAGCTCTGAGGGAAGAAAACCAGAAACTTAAATATGTAGGCTTTGTATGCTTGGACTTCCTCTTAACTCTCAGTTAACAGTAGCCTGCAGAAAATATAAAAAGTTAGGCACATGTATCTAAGAGTAACAGAAGGATGTAGGTTGGAGTTGAGGAAATGATATTGGGCTTAGAGTCAGGAGGCCCAGATTTAAAGAACAGCTCTTTTCTTTTCCCGCTGAGATTGTTTAATACCTGAATTTTAAGTAAGGTAGTCCCCAATTCTGTCACAAGTCAATTCTAACCTAAGTCAAATACTTCATTTTTAAAAACATTTTCACTATTACTGTCTTTTGTTATCAAGTCTTTATAAATCTGATCTTTAGTTGTCTTTGGGGGTTAGAAACATTACATACAAGTTTAGAGATATAGCTTAGCATTATATTTAATACATATTATATGGTAAGATATTAAAAAATAAGTTTTATGTGTGGTTCTTTGTAACTTGACTATATTGTAAGTTGGGGACTACAGACTTATAGTTCATCTTTATAATGAGGCTAAAAACAAGGAAAGTTTCTAGGGTGATTAAAATGTTCTATATCTTGATCTAGGTGATGTTAGATGAGTATAAAACCCACTGCCATTGAGTCAATTCTGACTCATAGAAGGCTGTAGATCTTTACAGAAAGAGATTGCCTCACCTTTCTCCCATGGAGCTGCTGGTGGGTTTTGAACCACTGACTTGGTTAGTAGCCAAGTGTCTTAGATGAGAGAGAGAGAGAGAGTGAGAGTGAGAGAGAGAGAGAGTGTGTGTGTGTGTGTGTGTATAAATCTGTGGAGCTGTTCCTGTCACACAGAATAACTACTGTTAAGATGAACTATAAGAACATGTGCAGGCTGTCTCTAAAAGGAAACCCATAAGGTGCAATTCCAGAGTTTCTACCCTGAACCACTGTTAGTTTTCCACTCTCTCCTTCCTCACCTTCAGTGGTGGAGCTTAGCTCTGCTCTGCACTGTTCTAATTTAGCTTTAACCTCCTGGAGCTGCTGGGTGTAGGACCCTGCCAACCGTTGTGAGCGCCGTAAGGATAAATCAGACACTGATTGTTGGTGGGCCACTGGCTGCTGTTTGGCTTCCTGTAAGAGGGCTTCTAGCTCTTCAATCTTTTCATCCCGCTCCTAAGAGGGAAGCAGCATAATTCCATCTAGAGTCAGACAAATATGGCAGAAGAGATGACTGAACAAAATTTTCCTGATACTTAGGCCATAAAAGCCTGTTGTTTTTTTTTAACCACTTATCCCATGTCTTTGCCCTTAAATCAATTCATCAAACATGGACTGACCACATACAGAGCACTAAGTGGAACAGAGAGGAAAGCTGAGTTATGTGTTCCTGCCCTCATCAGAGTTTATAAACTTTTATTGACCATAAGCAAGTTGGTGAGAATCTGAGCAGCTAGTTGGAAGATAGTTCAGAGCAACTCACCTGAAGCTCTTCTTGGTAAAAACTTGTCAGAGATTCCTTGAGAATCTTTAGTTTCTCTTCATACATTTCCTCCAACAGTTCCTTTTGGGTGTCCAAATGTTCACTGTTAGAAAAGTTAGTGAAAGTTCTCTCTGAGGACTGAGCTTAGAAGACAGATCTTGAGACTTGCCCAATCCCCATTCTCCACCCTCTGGCCCAGGTAACAGAACAAGAGAAGTCACTCAAGT